TCAAGAGAAGTGGAACCAAGCATCACTCGAGCATCGCCGAGCTATTGCACCTCTTGCCGCTGCCGCTGCCTGGGGCCGGGGCCAGTGGGAGTTGATGGACTCCTACCTTGGTGTCATGAAAGAGCAGTCTCCAGACCGCTCGTTCTTCGGTGCCATTCTGGCAATTCATCGCAATCAGTTCGAAGAGGCCAACATGTACATCGAGAAGGCTCGCAATGGCCTCGATACCGAATTGTCTGCTCTTCTCGGAGAGTCATACAATCGTGCCTACAATGTTGTTGTCCGGGTTCAGATGCTCGCTGAACTGGAAGAGATCATCACATACAAGCAAAACATTGGCGACCCTGAAAAGCAAGATGCCATGCGTAAAACTTGGAATCAAAGACTGCTTGGATGTCAGCAAAACGTGGAAGTGTGGCAGCGCATGCTCAAGGTTAGAGCTCTTGTCACTGCCCCACGTGAGAATCTTGACATGTCCATCAAGTTCGCCAACCTTTGTCGCAAGTCCAATCGCATGGGTCTTGCGGAACGGTCCCTTGCATCTCTAGAGACAGTGGTGTCCGATGCTAACGGCACCCACACTATCGCGCCACCCGAAGTGACATACGCCAGGCTGAAATTCAGTTGGGCAAATGGTCATCAACTAGAGTCTCTTGAAATGATGAAGGAGTTTACATCTGGTCTGACCGACGATTTCTCCAGATACAACACACTCATGGTCTCAAATGCTGATCATCATGGCGCGAATGGAGTCAACGGGGTCGTAGATCAGAACCACCCAGAAGCTATCCGCCTGAAAGAAAGGATTGGTGACGCCAATAAATTCAGAAAACTTCTTTCCAAAAGCTATCTCAGGCAGGGAGAGTGGCAGACAACTCTACAAAGGGGTGATTGGAGACCGGAACAGGTTCGAGAGGTTCTCAACGCCTACTCGGCAGCGACCCAATACAACCGCGATTCATACAAGGCGTGGCACTCCTGGGCACTTGCAAACTTCGAAGTTGTTACCACGATTTCCAACCAGGCTAACCGTGAGGGCATGCCTGCACCAGTTCCTGCTCATATTGTTACAGAGCATGTGATTCCTGCCATCCGCGGATTCATTCGCTCCATCGCTTTGTCCTTGACATCTTCGTTGCAAGACACCTTGAGACTGCTTACTCTGTGGTTTAATCATGGTGGAGATCATGAGGTGAACACTGTCGTCACGGAAGGTTTTACAGCTGTCAATATTGACACTTGGCTTGCTGTCACTCCTCAACTAATCGCTCGCATTAATCAGCCTAATATAAGGGTCCGGGGTGCGGTACATAGGTTGCTTGCCGAGGTTGGCAAAGCTCATCCCCAAGCCCTTGTGTATCCACTAACGGTGGCAATGAAATCGAATGTCACTCGACGCTCTCAATCTGCTAGTAACATCATGGAAAGTATGCGGCAACATAGCGCCAAACTTGTTGAGCAAGCAGACCTCGTGAGTCATGAGCTTATCCGAGTTGCGGTGTTGTGGCATGAACTCTGGCATGAAGGCCTGGAAGAAGCCTCTCGTCTCTATTTCGGTGACCACAATGTTGAAGGCATGTTCTCGACCCTTGCCCCCTTCCATGATATGCTAGACAAGGGCGCCGAGACCCTTCGTGAGGTGTCATTTGCGCAAGCTTTCGGTCGTGACCTGGCTGAAGCTAAGCACTACTGCATGATGTATCGCGAATCGGAGGAAATCGGCGACCTCAACCAAGCTTGGGATTTGTATTACACTGTGTTCCGCAAGATCAGCCGACAACTGCCACAGCTATCGACTCTCGATCTCAAATACGTGTCTCCTCGACTCAAGGACTGCTCAGACCTTGATCTTGCTGTTCCAGGAACATATCAGAGTGGTAAACCAGTCATTCGAATCATGAGCTTTGACCCGATACTGCATGTCTTGCAGACCAAGAAACGACCGCGTCGCATGACGCTCAAGGGCAGCAACGGTAGCTCTTACATGTATCTTGTCAAGGGTCATGAAGATATTCGACAAGATGAGCGAGTCATGCAACTTTTCGGCTTGTGCAATACCTTGCTGGATAACGATAGTGAGAGTTTCAAGCGACACTTATCTGTCCAGCGATTCCCTGCTATTCCATTGTCGCAGAGCTCGGGCCTTCTCGGATGGGTGTCCAACAGTGATACATTGCATGCCTTGATCAAGGAATATCGAGAAAGCCGTCGGATTCTACTCAACATCGAGCACCGAATCATGCTTCAAATGGCACCTGACTATGATAGCCTTACTCTCATGCAGAAGGTCGAAGTCTTCGGTTACGCTATGGACAACACGACTGGCAAGGATCTGTACCGTGTGCTATGGCTCAAGAGCAAGAGCTCTGAGGCATGGCTGGAACGCCGTACGAACTACACTCGATCGCTCGGTGTTATGTCTATGGTCGGCTACATACTCGGTCTGGGAGACAGGCATCCATCGAACTTGTTGCTGGATCGTGGTAATGGCCGTGTGGTTCACATCGACTTTGGTGATTGTTTCGAGATCGCAATGCATCGAGAGAAGTACCCGGAACGAGTTCCGTTCCGACTTACTCGCATGTTGACATTCGCCATGGAAGTCAGCAACATTGAGGGTAGTTACCGCATCACTTGCGAGGCTGTTATGCGTGTTCTACGAGAGCATAAGGATTCATTGATGGCGGTCTTGGAGGCTGTAAGTGACCTGATATCCTGAGGTTCTACAACCACACCCACTAACTCTTGCTTTTCTAGTTCATCCACGACCCTCTAATCAATTGGCGTCTGGGTACACAAGAGTCCCCTGACCGAGTGTCCCATACTGCGGACCGCCGCCAGTCAATCATGGAAGGCGTCAATTTCGAACCTGGCAGCCAGCCGCCAGGCGATTTCTCCCGTCGCCGTCGCCCGTCAATGCTTGAAGGTGGCATTCTCGATGCTCCAGAAGGCGTTCCACAAGAAGCCCGCGAGGCACAGAATGCCCGTGCTCTCCAGGTTCTAGCCCGAGTCAAGGAGAAGCTCACTGGGCGAGACTTCAGAAACAATGAAGAGCTGAGTGTCAGTGACCAGGTGGACAAACTCATTGCACAGGCAACCAATGTTGAGAATATCTGTCAACACTGGATTGGATGGTGTAGTTTCTGGTGATCTGGCTTTGTTCTCGGAGTTCCATGGCGATGATGATATGGTATGGTGCGTTTTGTTTCGATTCCTCACCTTGTATTTAGAGTTAACCCCCATCATTGCTATTTTCTCGTTCTTATTTCCAATTCCTCCAACTACTCTGCTTCTGGTAGATGGTTAGTTTAGCTCCTTAGGTAGTCTTTGAGGTTGCATGGATATTTAGTCTCCCTTCAGCAAGTTACTAGAGAAAAAGAGAGCATCCCAACTATCAAATTCTATAAATTCCATTGATGTAATACATTCACCTGGCAGATTCCATAGTTATCAGAAAGTACACGCGGTCAGGTCTTGTGTTGCGGGACCACGTGATCGGTGGCGACTGAGCTTTGGATTTGCCCGTGGACCTTTAGACAAAGCGACTTGCTCATATCATTTTTTCCCCCTCAAATTTGATTCTTCGCATCTCTAGGCAGTATGGGTGGAGATCTGAACCTGAAAAAGTAAGTACCGAATCCTAGCTTCCATATCTACCCGAAGAGAGAAGCATGACACTAATCATCCAACCAGATCATGGCATCCAGGCTTGATCAAGAACCAGGAGCGCGTATGGCTTGAAGAGAAACGCGCTCTCGACGAGCGCAAACAAATAGCGCAATTACAACGTGAACGAGAGGAAGAGCGCCAGATGGAGGAGATTCAACGCCTTCAAGAAGCTGCCGGAAAGACAAAGCAACACCGCCGTGTCGATTGGATGTACCAGGCGCCCTCGACCGAAACCGGGCACTACTCGGAGGAGATGGAGGGATATTTGCTGGGAAAGCGACGCATCGACGGAGTCCTCCTTAAGAACGACCCTGACACCAAGAAGCTGGGGAAGGGCTCGGAGGTGGTGGGTAATGGTGCCGCGGCTGGCCCGTCCATTGTCTCGGCGCGCGACACCATGTCGAAGGTTATGGCAGACCCGCTACTTGAAGTGAAAAAAAGAGAACAGGCGGCTTATGAGGCGATGGTGAAAGAGACGCTCAGACGCAAGGAAAGAGAGAAGGAACGCCGAGATCGCGATCGGGGAAAGGATCGTGACCGTCGCCATCGTACCCATGACTCAAAGCGCAGACGCTATAATGATGATGCCAGTGATGACCGCCATCATCGAAGATCATCGCCACGACGACACCGATCTAGATCACCCGGTTCGCCTGATCGATCTTCGCGCAGACACAGAAGTGATCGTGATCGTGACGACGAGTACCGCCCAGATAACCGTGATCGGAGAAGCGACGAGCACCGGTCCCGCCGAGACAATAGGGACCGGGGCGGAGACCGTCGCGACTACCATGAAAAGAAAGACAGAAATTCCTTCTCCAGTCGACACCAAGATCGCGAAGATAGAGGTGGACGAGACCGCTCACCAACCCGGAACTCTCGGTCTCCTCTTCCATCTAGCGATCGCAAAGAACGCCCCACTGCTGACGAAGATCGTCGCCGTAAATTCCCCCGGCGCGAATACAATAATTGGCGGGACTCTGACCGGGCCATGGGGCCACCCTCGACTCGTACTCCAACAAACAAACCTGATCCCAAGGAACTGGAAGAGGAACGTCGTCGAAAGTTGGCAGAGATGCAGAACAATGCCACAGAAATTGAATCCGAGCGACGCCAGCGAATCGAGGAGATTTCGGCTAAGGAGGAAGAGCAGCGGGAGGCTGACGATCGGCTGCGTTCAGACCGGGGCAGATTTATGTCTGATGTCAACAAGCGAGTACAGCAGGATACTCTGGATGAACGCATTCGGCGTAGCCGTGGTGGACTTGCAAAGATGGATGAGGATTAGGACCATCTTGGTTCCCATTTGGGACTAGGCATTTGCCGTGCCTTCAGCGTCCATCTTCATGGTTTTTTGTTCTCTTTTTAGCGTTACCGGAAGGTTTTGATACACAAGTTATTGATTTCCATTGTGACAGCCTTTCAAACTCTTGTAAGCATAATTTAAGGCTCCAGAATCTTCTGGACATCTGGGGAGCTAGGGAGCTTGTCCCCATCAGAGTCAGTCCCGCGGTTCATTACACATTCTGCTTCAAGTAACGAGGATCACTTTCCTTGCCATTTCCCCGATGTCAAAGCGCGCTATGCTGATGGTGCTTCTTAGGATTCCACATCGGTCTCGCTCGTTCGGACTGGCCTTCGGCTTGTCAGTTGTAGGCTTGATCGACGATTACAGATAGCATTGCCAGACATGATCCAGACGACCACTTCTGGTCTGTCTCTTGGCCTTGGTTCCTAAATGCTCGGTTGACCTCTATGATGATAGGACAAGACGAGTCTCGGGAACACTAGGCCTGGAGGTTTGGGTAGTACTCGATCTGGTGCGTAAAGAATTTCTTTTTGCTTGAGAGAGACCAACAGAGAGTGGAACATGGGAGGTCGATCAAGTGCACACACACACACACACAGCCACTGACTCAATGCTATTTAGCTGCGTACTATCTTTTTAAAAGGGCATCTTTGGTGGTCATATCCTATTATTAATGCTCCTTTCTCAATTGCTAGGGCTGATATAAAGTACAAATATACTTCTCAAGAGGGACGAGGAACAAACACCATAAATGCCTAGCCTGAACAGTATCGGACGAACAATTTCACTGGTGCCCTTTGAATGTCCACAAAGCCCCAGAGTTGCAAGTATTGCAGAACCAGTTCCTGTCCATCATACGAGGCCTGAACGATTCTCCCCTGGTAGTCGCCCACGTCAGAAAGAAACAAAAAACTATACAGGCCTTAGACCATATCATTCAAAACAAGGATAACCACTGACTGGATGGATATGACACCTGTAGAGCGGTTTGTGATTCACTCGACAAACTACAAGGTTCACGATGGCTCTCAGCCCGTGGGTCGTGAGGCCATGGTTTGCGTCGGGCCAGGCTGGAATGCGGCTTAAGAGGATGACTGGTATATCGGTAATGAATGATCACTCTCCACGGCTTTGGATCCCCTATTCCCTCGTAGGGACGAGGGCCGTCTTCTCTCCGGTCAAGGCTACGGATCGTTAGTTTCACACTTGTAATCCAGCACTTGACCGTCTACTTGCTCCCAACACTCCCGCTCATCGTCTCCGAGGTCTCCAAGTAGGAACCATTCATGTGATCCGTATCTTCCCATCTGAATGTGAAGCTCAATAGCCTTCTCTGCATCCTTGGCAGAATGTATGGATGGATCACGTTCTGGTGGAAAATCTGGTATCATCCCGTGTTCCATTCTCGCAACCATTGGGGCGTTTTCAGGGGATTTCTCGGTTAGAACATCTTTTATGGGCTCCTTCAAAGTGGGAGTGGATTGTATGTTCTGTGGATCATCCTCCAAGGCCAGAATCTGGATAGGCAATCTTTGAAACTGTTTATCGGGGTGTGGTCGAAAGCAGCAAGGATCAAATTGGAGGCCTTCACCATGTTCCGGGGTCAACGATGCTTGGAATGCTTGAGCTGCAAGCCTCTGGAAGTCTGCAGGAGAAGGGAAGTCAAGCTCAAGATCTCTAGCTTGTTGAACAAGAGACCTGAGAAAGGCATGAGGCTAAGCTTGAGTCTCTGTCATATTGAGGTGCTTGAAGAAGTAAGAAAAGAAAAGTGAGTCTACAAAAGATAAAGAAAAGACGGTATTATACTAAGACGTGCAGATAACAAAGTGGACGGTGTAGGTGTATGGATTCCAAGGTTTGCCTGACTCTGTAGCAATGCATGACTGTACATGTGTAATCGCAGCAGCTTGGATGGCTTGGTGGATAACTTCATCCTGTCATGCAACTGGAGATTAAGATGTAAAAGAGATTTTCGTCTCTTTCAATTCTCGTCATAGCCATTCAAGTTCCCCGAAATCTATCGAATGGGAAGGGGAGCTACTAGTACACATGTGGATGTACAAGAATCAGACTCCAAGACTAAATAGAAGCCACTCGAGAGAAAGCTATAAGAATTTGAGTGACCCATATGAAACCTATCAAGGCTTTGGCCGACCTGCTCAAACGTTTCGTGGGACGACAATGTGAATAGTCTGGCCAATGTAAGAGTAGAGGGGTATAGCATGTGAATGTCTATATTTCCAAGGTGCAGAATGCAGTGTATTGTACATAAGATAGAAGAAAAGGAAGAGAATAGTAGATACCATTTCTCCAACATCCCCATGAGACAAATTGCTCAATCAATCACTGACATCGAAACTTGTCCCGCAACCGCAGTTACTTGTTGCGCGGGGGTTATCCACGATCTTGAACTGGCTCCCGATCAACTCGGTGGTGTAGTCCACGGTACTGCCGTGCAGCAGCTCGAGCGAGGGCTCATCCATCACAACCTTGGCTTCGCCGGCCGACTCTGTTGCAGCTTCATCTGCTTCTCCTTCAAACACAGTATCTTCGTCAGGATCAATTTTGGAGGCCCCCTCTAGGGACATTATGTATTGGAAACCATGGCATCCGCCGCTGGTGACTGTGATGCGAAGATGGTGGTATGGATTCTCTTCCTTGGTGGCGGAAGGGGAGGATGTTGGGTCCGTAATTTCGCGGAGACGCTGTGCTGGGTTAGCTTGAATTTTAAATAGTATTGATGTATAGAGAACTCTCTCAAAGAACGGGGAGACAAAAACAAAACAGAGAAAAAAAACATGCAACAGTGAGGATTCGCTGGTGGTCACCCACCCAACTACTAACTCACCGGCGTGTGGCTTAAGTACGGCTGAGCGGACGGGAAGCCCTGTTTTCCACACCCTATGGTCGCATGTACTTGAAGGAGCACCTGAAGGCCCCAAGGCGCGGTCAGTGGGTCGTCCCTTGTCGGCTGAAAGTAAGCCGACACCAAGACAGACCCCCGGCCTGATACTTGATGCCCATGCCGCCCAGACAGCTTCCCACCCATCCCAGCACAAGCCAGATAGAAGAATGAGGCAAAAGCAGGCAAACCGAACGCAAAGAGATCCATTATCAACTAACCTCGATGGCCCGCGTTGAAATACCAATCATGAGGGATTGTCCATCATCTCCCGTTCTCGGATTTTGCGTTACCTTGGTGGCCGGGCGGACGGATGAGGAAGAAAAACACGCATGTTGCTGGTGGCAGTAACAAGAGGTTGAGGATTGATGCGCTGAGCGTTTGAGAGGAGGCACGCTGCTTGCGACAGGGTTTGGCCGGCGAGGAACGATTTCGCCGCTGGGGAATGCGGAGAGGCGCAAAGCCGGTCGAGAAGTTGAGAAGAGCCGGCATGTCTGTGCTTGGGACAACCGCCGGACAGCTATCGATGAGAATAAAGGGCGTGACATGGCTAATGTGTGAAAGAATGGAATTCTTCAAGAAGAGAAAGCAGAAAGGTGAAGAACACTTGATATTAAATCATCCCCATTCCGAATACATCGGGTTAGTCAGTTTGCAGTGACACCATTGGTTGAATAGAGTCGGGAGTTTCCGGCAGAATAATGTCCCTATCGGGAAGGGATCACCGGATGGTGGGGGACTGCAGATAAATGTATCAGCCTCCAAGGTTGTATGACTCCCTGCTAAGGCTCTCATTTGCCACAACTCTCAGCCTTGTGAATATTGCGCACGCATCTCAGGAGCTGTCTGGATCTAAGTCTGTCATCATGGGTTCCCGGCAGCATGTTCGGGACATCAAAAGTGGTTCCCCGCTTCCGTATAAAGATGATATCAGAGCTTACAAGAAAGAGTATGCCGAAGCTCTCGATGCTCAAGATCCGCTTCGGAGCTTCCGGGATGAGTTTATAATTCCATCTAAAAACGATCTCAAGCGGAAGACTCTGGCAGTAGACGACAGTGCGTATCAGGATCTCTTGCATGCCCAGGCAGCCGCTCTAACCTTTGGCTTTCTGCTTTCTCACTAGGTAATGAAGCGTCCGATGAAAAAAGCATCTATTTCTGTGGTAACTCGCTAGGAGTTCAACCTCGTAGTACCCAGAAATATATCGAGCAGTACCTGCGAACTTGGGCAACGAAAGGCGTGACCGGACACTTTGTACCTCATGACGATCAATTGCTACCTCCTTTTGTCGATGTCGACAGCGCAGCCTCGAAGCTTATGGCTTCAGTTGTCGGTGCTTCTCAAAGTGAAGTGGCAGTTATGGGCACCCTGACTGCCAATTTGCACCTGCTAATGGCAAGCTTCTATCGCCCGACCAAAGAGAAGTATAAGATCATACTGGAGGGCAAGGCTTTTCCCAGTGACCATGTATGTCTCTAATTGTGCAGTCCAATTCTGGAGTTTGGTGCCGGTGCTGACCCGAGTGCAATTCAGTATGCGGTGGAGTCTCAGCTCCGCCATCATAACTTCGATCCGAAGGACGGCATGGTTTTGATTGAACCCAATGATTTAGACCAGCCTACTCTGGGTACGGAACAAATCATCAAAGTGATCGATGACAACGCTTCCAGCACCGCACTCGTTCTTCTCTCGGCTATTCAGTTCTACACAGGGCAGTACTTCGACATGGAACGGATTACGGCTCACGCCCACTCCAAAGGCATATTGATCGGCTGGGACTGCGCCCATGCCGCTGGAAATGTGGATTTGCGACTTCACGATTGGAATGTGGATTTTGCAGCCTGGTGCAATTACAAGTACCTCAATAGCGGACCAGGTGGAATAGCAGGACTATTTGTCCACGAACGTCACGGCTCTGTGGATGAGAAGCAGCCCGAAAGTGACGGCACATTTCGGCCTCGACTCTCGGGCTGGTGGGGCGGAGATATCAAAACACGTTTTAATATGGAGAACAGTGCGTAGTCTCATTTTAATTTATAAACAAGCGATGCTGACGGTCATAGAATTTCTACCACAACCCGGTGCCGCTGGATTTCAGCTGTCGAATCCCTCTGTTTTAGACATCAACGCGGTCATGGCATCTCTCGAAATTTTCAACCGAGCAACAATGAAGGAAATTCGACAGAAATCCCTCAACATCACGGGGTATCTAGAACATCTTTTGATGAAGTATCCCCTAGATGCAGCCCCAGAGGACAAACCATTCACCCTTATCACTCCATCAAACCCAGCCGAGCGAGGTGCTCAGCTCAGTCTACGTCTCCAACCAGGGTTGTTAGATCATGTTTTGCACTGTCTGGAAGACAATGGGGTTGTTATTGACGAGAGAAAACCAGACGTGGTTCGTGTCGCCCCTGCACCCTTGTATAACACTTACACGGAAGTGTGGGAGTTTTGTCAAATCTTTTTGCAGGCGTGCAAAGAGGCCGTGAAGGCGCGTTAACTGTCGTTTCGTTGTGTACTATCGTATTGTTCCAACTATATCTGTATAGATCCATCTATGAGGATTCAAGTCCTTTTAACCTTTGATTTTGAATCACTCGTAATCCACACCACTGTAGGGCTGGATAGCTCTATCTGTTGCAGCCTGTAAAAAGTGACGATCGATCACAGAAAAATCGGCTTCTCGCGCCGCTATCTCCACAAATGGCGAACGATATGGATGGATCTTTCCCGCTTTCGTACTAGCGAGAAAAAAAAATTGGGAGTCACTGTTGTTTCTCTGCGTCTTCAATGCCATTTGAAACATATGTTTGACCTTCATCTTAACAGCCCAGATGGCGGGGACGGAAATAAAACCACCCTCTGTTTTGCACCCAGAATCCGGTCAAGATGCGAACGTGGAAATGAGAGACGGGGATCTTGCTGATGTCGACTATTCAGTCTTCACAGTGAGTCAGCGCAGATATATTGTCTTCATGGCCTCTTGGGCTGGATTTTTCTCGCCTGTTTCTTCTCAAATATACTTCCCCGCATTGAATACTTTGGCGAAAGATCTACATGTATCAAATTCATTAATCAATTTGACTTTGATGAGCTATATGGTAAGGCTTCCATTGTGTAGGCACAGTTAGTTTTATAGCCTAGCTAACGAGAATACAGATTTTCCAAGGGCTGTCGCCCATGTTCATTGGTGATTTTGCGGACAAAGCTGGCCGACGACCAGCATATATCGTATGCTTCACCATCTATATCGCAGCTAATATTGGACTGGCTCTGCAAAACAGTTATGCAGCTCTTTTCGTTCTCCGGTGCTTGCAAAGTGCAGGGAGCAGTACCACCATTGCCCTCTCATCGGGGGTGGTCGCCGATGTAGCGACTGCATCCCAACGAGGGTCCTACATGGGATTTGTCACGGCAGGATCTCTCATGGGCCCTTCAGTGGGACCCGTAATTGGGGGTCTATTATCTCAATACTTGGGCTGGCGCGCGATCTTCTGGTTTCTGACCAGTTTTGCAGCGGCTTTCATGGTTCTCTTTCTGGTCTTCTTCCCGGAAACCGCCCGTGGTATTGTCGGTGACGGCTCATTGCCTCCTCAGAAATGGAATCTGTCCCTGATCAGCTATTTAAAGTCCCGAAAGGCTCGTGAAGAAGGCGTCGTATCTATGGCAATTGCATCCAAGCAGAAACTCAAGTTTCCCAATCCTCTCCAGACGCTTGCCATTGTATTTCAAAAGGATGTCAGTCTTATCCTCTTCTGCAATGCTATTCTTTTCGCTGGATTCTACGATGTGAGCGCAAGCATTCCTTCTATCTTCAATGAGCTTTACGGACTAGACGATCTCCAGGTCGGTCTCTGCTTTATTCCATTTGGCCTCGGTGCGACCATCGCTTCCGTTGTTAATGGCAAGTTGTTGGACTTGAACTACCGCCGACTTGCTCAGCAAATGAACTTCCCCCTAACCAAGAACCGTCAAACTGACTTGCGGAACTTTCCTATTGAAAAAGCTCGTCTTCAACTTGCATTCCCTCTTCTCACGTTGGGGAGCCTGTCCATCCTTGTGTTTGGCTGGTTCTTGAACTATGGGATTCATCTCGCTGCGCCAACCTGTATTCTCTTCCTCATGGGATTGTCGTTGACAGGGGCATTCAATACCATCGGCACCCTTCTGGTAGACCTATTTCCAACACAAGCGGCCAAAGCCACTGCTGCCAATAATTTTGTGCGTTGCTTGCTGGGAGCCGGCGCGACGGCACTCATCGATCCTATGCTTTCGGCTATGGGCCGGGGCTGGTGTTTCACATTCATCGCGTTGGTGATGATGGCCACGACGCCACTGCTTTTGGTCGTGATTCGAAAGGGGCCGAACTGGCGTGAAGAACGTCGTCTAAAAGAGAAAGCTATGAACACTGGGGACGGGAATGCTTCAAGTCAGAAGGGACCAAGGAGTTGTTCCTCCCCCCGATGACCATCATGAACTACGTTTTTCCTATCGATACCATTTTAGAGACTTGCACCCAAAGAATGCATTATAATAGAACTCTTCAATCAATAATACAAGGAGGCAAGGCTCCAACATGATCAGTGTCATGATAAGCTGGTCCAAATCGCATTGTCATCCCCGGACACATTTGCAGCAGCCCTTTTCCAACATTCATCCCACGTACAAGTCTGTTGCATCATCTGAAAGCAAAGTGAGCCCTCTCCAAAGGCTGCCTTTCTGACTCCCATGCTAGCCAATCCGATCTCGTTGTTCTGGACATACATTAGCAAAACAAGCGGTCTCAAAGCTCGAGAGCAAGACTTACGGTAGTAGACCCATCGCATTAACCTTCCAGATACCCAAGCACAGTAATACCAGCTGCATCAACATGTAGACCACCTTCACTCCAAGCAAACGCGAATGTGTTGACGGCGTTTCATACTTGGCGAACGCTGCATTGGTCCCGATCAGACCCTGAATGGGACCCTTGAACAGCATAAGGACCATCATAATGCTGAAAATCTGAAGACTATTGCCGGACATGTACATCATAATGGCATTCATTGGAATCTGCTTGGACGGAGCGATGGCGATCTCCCACGCTTTCTTCATTTTAAGCGCATCGGTCTCCTCGGGTTTCTTCGTGGCGGATTGTTGCTGCTGTTGCTGACGCTGAAAAATACTGCATTAGCATGTGCCAGTCAATTTTGTTACGATTGGTGGTGAAACTCACCTGCTTGCCTCCCCGACTGCTCGAGAAGCCTGGCGGGTCCGGGATGCTAGATGCAGCCTTTGAGGGGCGCGGCATCGGGGAGTTCAACGAAACAACCCATTGCGGAGGAGGAGGTGGTGGTAGACGGGCTTGTGACATATTTATGATAACTGTGGTGTAGGGTGGAGATGATCTTAGAAGCAAATGACGGGGAGGAAAGTTGCTTGGGTAGGGAGGTTTCCCTCCGCAACGGCTACGCCGCCTTCAAATTCCCTTTCTCTCTTTCTCTCTCTTTTTATCTCCCACTTCATTAATCTTTTGAATTCTTTTCCGATCGTTTGAAAAAGGACCATGTCCAATCGCTGATTTCCTTGGTTTCCGAGTATCCCGAATGCGCCACAAGTCAACACGTCCTCGGTCTCACCCTTTTCCTCTTTCAAACCTCCCCACCCTTGGGATTTGATCTCGCGCTTTACTTTCGTCTTATCATTGACGATCCTCCAGACAATCTCGCCTGTGATTGATTCCACGGTCGTCAGATACAAGAGCTTGCCGAACTTCGCATTCCATGAAATCGCGCCTAGAGGTGCCTAATCGCTATTTGTACCGCAGCCATGAGTTCTGGAGGAGATGCGAAGTTATTCGCCAGGGTACGTTAGCTTGTCCAGCCTGTCCTCTGATTGCCTGGTTTCTCCCAGATCGCATCATGGTTATTTCTCCCCCCCCCCTTCCCCGCTTTCTATTTCCATGCATTCACTTTCCCTCGCTTTGGTGAGCTCTGTACTTGGGCCTTTGCATCTTGCTCTGTTTCCGTGCATTCGGCATAGACTATTTGCTTCACTTTTACAGCACTCCGAATCGCCAAATCACTTCTGCCCTCATGTTCATCAGTATTGCTCCTTATCCTTTATTCCAAGGCTCACGTTTGCGAAATACACAGGGCAAGGTTGCTGAGCTACGGCAAGAGCTCAATAGCGGTGGCAAGAAAGACAAGAACTATTCCGCCAAAAAGATCACACTTAAGAAGATTGTAGCCAATATGACCATGAGCAACAACGACATGGTTGCGCTGTTCCCAGATGTTATTGGTTGTATGAATCTGCCGAGCTTGGAGATCAAGAAGATGTATGTCTATACTTTCGACTCGAGATTGATGCTTCTGGTGTGCCATGTGGAGTAGAGCTCGGTTGCTAATATGTTGTCTAGGTGCTTCTTATTCCTGGTCAACTACTCGAGAATGAAACCAGAGGTTGCATTGAAGGCGCTGCCCATATTGGTTGATGTATGACCCCGCTGTTAGGAAAGAAGATTTGAGTTAGTCTGATTTTGCTTCACAGGATATGGGAGACAACAACCCACTTGTACGCGCGCTTGCACTGCGAACCATTTCATATGTGCACGTTCGCGAATTTGTCGAAGCGACGTTCCAACCTGTCAAGCGCCTGATGCAAGATAATGATCCATATGTTCGCAAGACGGCTGCCTTCTGTGTTGCAAAGCTCTATGAGCACGATAAAAAGATGGTTGAGAACTCAGATCTGATCGACAGGCTCAACCGCATGTTGAAGGATGAGAACCCGACTGTTGTTTCCAGCGTCTTAGCTTCGTTGGTGGATATATGGGGCCGCAGTGAATCAATTTCACTCACTATCGATTATGTTAGTGCCTCAAAATTGGTTTCAATTCTGGCAGACTGCTCGGAGTAAGAGTCTTCGGTTCTACATTTAGGGAAATCTTGTTAACAGTTCAAACAGATGGGGTCAAACCTACATTCTCGAGGCATTAATGGCATATGTGCCTCAGGATTCCGCAGAGGCGCTTCTGCTGGCAGAGCGAGTTGCCCCGCGGCTATCACATTCAAATTCCGCCGTCGTGCTAACTTCCTGCCGTGTCATTCTTTATCTCATGAACTATATTCCAGGTGAAAAGCACATCACCTCGTTATGCAAGAAGCTATCTCCACCCCTCGTCACATTGCTTTCCAAGCCGCCCGAGGTCCAATATCTGGCACTGCGCAATGCTATCCTAATTCTCCAAAAGAGGCCAGAGGTCTTGCGGAATGACATCCGAGTGTTCTTCTGCAATTACAATGACCCAATCTACGTCAAAGTCACCAAGCTGGAATTAATGTTCATGCTAACCACAAAAGACAACATATCCATCGTGCTGGCAGAGCTGCGAGAGTAAGAACTTTTCGGGTTGACTGAATTCAATTTATACTGATATCTTTCACAGATATGCCACCGAAATTGACGTTCACTTTGTGCGCAAGGCCGTTCGGGCCATTGGCAAACTGGCAATCAAGATTGAGTCTGCTGCAAAACAATGTATCGAAACACTCTTGGAGCTGGTCGATGCCAAGATCCCATATATTGTCCAAGAGGCAACAGTGGTGATCCGCAACATCTTCCGCAAATACCCCAACCAGTACGAAAGCATAATCAGTCACGTCATCCGAAACATCGACGATCTGGATGAGCCTGAGGCTAAGGCAGCCGTCATTTGGATCATTGGCCAGTATGCGGACCGCATCGACAATTCGGATGGTCTCCTTCAGGATTACTTAGCCACATTCCACGACGAAACGGTCGAAGTGCAGCTGGCCCTGCTCACGGCTACTGTCAAACTTTTCATCCAACGCCCCACCAAGGGCCAGCAGCTTGTACCACAGGTACTCAAATGGTGCACCGAAGAAACAGATGACCCTGATCTTCGTGACCGTGGTTACATGTACTGGCGCTTGCTGTCAACAGACCCAGCAACTGCCAAGCAGGTTGTCATGGGCCAAAAGCCCCCGATCACGGCGGAGAGCGAAAAGCTAGACTCACGCACTCTCGAGGAACTGTGTCTGAACGTCGGAACTCTAGCCACAGTCTACCTCAAGCCTATCCACCAAGTCTTCCGCGCTGCCCGCCCTCGACGACTCCTTCCCAGCCCAGCCTTGCAACGTTCACACACCGACGACGGTACAGGCAATATGCTCGACTACAATCCTCCCTCCGCAAACATGGCCTCCGCCTCAACCAGTAATAGCGGCCTGGCCACAATCACCACAACAGGTGACCCTGTCACGCCAAGGTACAATGTACCTCCTACTTCTCTCCCCGTCGGCCCGGGCGTAAACTACGCGCACACAGGCCCCAGCAACATGAATGAGGCAGCAGATGCAGCAGACGCTTACTTCAGTGGCATCGGCTCCCAACAGATGGCTTCGCTAGACCTTGACGGTACTGGAGGTGCGCCTCAGACACAGTACGTTGTGACTCAAAATCAGCAGCAGGGATATCAGCCGCAACTGGCTGGTGGGGCTGCCACAGGAGAGCTACTATTGTTATAATTCAGTTTAGAGAGGGATTTACTTGTACATGTAGATAGAAGACGATTGTCATGCAGCCTGCGCTTAGTAATTACATAACCACTCTCATCTAACTAAAATCTCACGGTTCTTCTTGTCCACGTCCAAATTTCCATTCAAGAAAAAAAAAGTTTGGATTTTCTATACAGCGTGGAATATTTTGGAAATATGTAGAACATTTATCGTTGATCTAATGCTTTCATCAAGTAACTGTTTTTCTACTACCTGACACAAATACTCTCTATGCTGTGTTAACCATCTGCCTTCAAAGAAGCAGTGACAGCAGACCAGGGTGACACATGAAACAGCGGACGCCCACCAAAGAAATCGCGATAATCCAACTTGAACTTGATTTTGAACGGACCAGGAAGCCTTGAGCTTCCATGATCCACGGATGAGGGGAACACTCGAAAAAGGAAAAAAAGGAAAACAACAGAAACAAGAAACATGAGGGGTGGAAGAGGGGGGAGAGCGAAAAGGGGGGGGGGGGGGGAGGGCAGTGAGTATAATGTGGGAAAATAAAAAAAAACAAAGTACCTAGGCAGAGAAAAAGAAAGAAAATTCATCTCAAGTCATGTCCGTTCCTCTTCAAACAGAAGGCTCCCTGGGAACCACTCTTCGCTTCTTTTCTTTTCAACTCTCTCGGCACACTTATGAGACACAGGCCCCGCTTAGTAGACGCGAGCGAGGTTACGCAGGTACCAGTCAACCAGACGGCGGCCGGCCTTGGTCTCACTGACGTGGATCAGGTCGTCCTCAAGAGCGTAGTCGAGATCGTTGGCGATGGCAGGTTCGCCATCCAGGAGGCCACCGTCGACCCAGCGGATCTGGCGGCTGCGCTGCTTGTTAACGAGCAACCACGAGCGGAGCTGCTCGGGGGACACCTCGAGGAAACCTGCAAGTTTCTTGAGGTCCATTGTGGTGTAGAGCTTGAGGTAAGAGCGGATGGTGGGGTTGAACAGTGTGTTCTTGACCTCGTCCATGAAGATAGCAGTGTGGTGGTCGACGGGGTCGACGTTGGAGGCTGGGTTGTCGAAGTCGGGAGGAGTGGGGTTAATGAACTTGGGGCAGGAAGAGCGGAAGAGCTCCTCGAAGACGGGCAGGGCCTCGGGGCCACCCTTCTGCATGCGGTAAAACTGCTCGCCATACTTCTCGCGGACGGCCGAGTGGATGGTGTCATCCAGACGGGTGGGGTGGAGAGCGACACAGATGGCGATCAGGGCGTACATCTGGTCGTTCTTCTTGGCGATGGCTTCGTAGTTGTTGCCACCCTTCTGGAAGTTCTTTGTCCGGGACACATACACGAGGATGTGGCTGAACATGCGGATGGCGTCGCCGTAGCGGCGCATCATCATGTAGGAGAAGCCCACGTAGTAGTAGGTGGTGAAGTGGGCAGCCATCACGCGGGCGAACATGGCCTTCTTGTTCATCTCAACATCGTCGAGAATCTTCAGGGCAAGACTGAAGTCACCGAGCAGGCAGTGCACGCGCAGCAGTCCGATGATCGAGAAGTAGCCGAGCATCTTGTACAAGGGGCGCGAACCGTACTCGCCGGCGACGGCCATTGGGTCCTCTCCCCGCTTGGTGGCGTTCAATTGCTCGCTAATCTGTGAGCGCTGGATGAGAGAGTAAAGCACGTTCAGTACTGAGTAGCAGCCCCATGTGTTCGGGTTCTCGCGGAGCAGCTGGCTCTCCTCCTCGTTGGATCCAGTACGAGCAACGCGGTTGCGGTAACGGCAGAAGGATTCGAATTGATAGATGAACTCGTCAATAACTTCCCAAGCCCAGTAGTACTGATTGTAAAGAAAAGTATCGTTAGTTTATCTGTAGTAGATTTTGAGGGATGAATCGACCTGTTCATTCCACAAATGCCAAGCTTTTGCTTTTCATTCATGGCGTTCAACAATCGGTCGGCGAAACAGGACACCTACGTTAGGAACCTCCAAATCCACGGGGCCATCGGAGTTGAGGATATAGTGGAAGAGACTGCAGTAGTTGTCGTAGCTAGCGAATTTGGTCTCAAGAGTAGCCTGGTATTCCAGCGGGGTGGCGGCGGCGGCCAACTGGGCCTGAAGATCTTGGGTCTGCGATGCACCGTGGGACATGGTCTGGTCCAGCTCGCTCATTCCGTCGTCGTAGTTGACTTGCTCGCGGTAGTCGTTGGCCATAGCCTCCTCCTCATTATCGGACTCATCGTTCAAGTTGGGGCGCGCATTGGCGCGATCTTCGTAGGACATTTTGAGTGTGAGGGGGGGGGGAAGAAAAGAATTAAAAATGCAGTAAGATGCCGAAATGAAACGGCAGTGAAGAGGCGGAAGGGGCGAGGTGGGGAGGGAGGGGGGGGATAGCGTCGGCGTGTGCGATTTGCCAAAGAAGTCGAATTTTGAGGGTTTTCGCTTGGGTGTTTGTGCTTATCTTATCAGCGCATAAAGCATCAAGATGACTCAGCTGTGAGGATTTGTGCATGAAGCACTCAGCACAGTCTACTTCGACACAAAAACACATTCCACTGCTATAGCAATTACCTCTTATTACAAATCAAAATTAAATGGGTAAAACGAAATAACTTGGGCGTAAAAATCCCTGAAGTGTACAACGTGCTAATGGAAAGGGCTTTAACCGTTCTAAACGAGCTCGATGCTTCTTTCTGGCTATTCAGCATCTTGATATTGAAAGTCGCCATTTTTGTACTTTCTAGAGGAATCCCAGCAAGTTGAGCACTCGAGAAAAAACAGTCTCGAGTGTGTGGTCTCATTGACTAGCGAAGTGTGAAATATGCAAGGAAAAGACTTCCTGTAGATCGGAGGCCAAGTAGTCGTCTTTCATCGGCTAACGCTCTCGTGCAGAGGACAGCCCCTGCTCTTTCCCGGAGTCAATGTCGGCGCCTCTCTCCCCTTTATCTGCCCAAACCACAGAGGTTGATGCTGTACGTCCTCGTCTTTGAGCCGAGTGACAGAAAGGCTGAGATTGCATTGGTCATAACCGAAAATTTGGGTAGGCCAGGTCTAACGTTTACTCTGCCGTGACAGAGTTCTAGGACAATGCAGCTTTTCCTCAACGCCCTCGCTCCAGCCCTACTGTGATAACACCTCCACTTCGCATTTCCACCTTTGTTTCACTCAAGTTTGTAGCAGGATGAACTGTCTTACGATTTTGCTCACCTGGTAGCTGCATATTTGCATTTATCCAGTCATACATAGGTGCAATGCTAATTTTCAGGGCTCAAGACCCCTCCACTGCTCCGGGTCATCGAAGACTGCAACAACCTCGGGACCTAGATGCAGCGCGTTCTTTCCGACCTCGTGAACTGCATCGGCGGTTTGCTTAAACCGGCGACTAAGAGCTATTCCAAACCGACAGAGTTCAGCAAATGCCTGTCTTGATTGGTCACTCTCTTCCAACTGGTAAGCCAAGATCCGAAGACCTGTCTGTATGGCATCGACTATCTGGCTGGGTATATGCTTGAGGCCATACGACTGGCGATGGATGCAAAGGCAATGCGCCATTTCCTCAACGAACTTGACCTGGTATAACCGGGCTTGTCGGACAAGTCGTGGCTCATGAGGGTCTTTCAACATCTCAAACAGATATATGATGGCCTGGAGACATTTAATTCTTCACGCATTGTTAGCACACAAACAATAACCGAGGTGCATGGAATGGGAAGGCACTCATGCTTACCGCAAGAGGAGAACTTGTGGGACTGAATTTCTTTGTATCTCGGGCACGCCTGGCCAGCGTTGTAGCCAATCCTTCAAACGATTGAATGGGCCGTGAGCTTTACTCCACAAGTCCTCAAAAGTGGCGCCCTTGGTTTTTTCAGAAACAAGCTTCTGGATGTCGACTAAGATTCTGGCGACCTCAGCCAGTCCCTCCCTGACTTCAGGGAGAAGGGCTGGCTTTTTGTCATATGTAATGCTGTTTGAGCGAGGGTATGGGGTCCAGTCAAAGTCTTCGTTTCCACACAGCTTGACATCAGACGTGGGATATGCCAAGGGAGCAATCTTTTGCAGCTCAATCGACATCTGTCTGTGCCAGTTGATTAGACAGGGCTCATTTCTGTGAGGATGGGCAGCGCTTACGTGCTCATGTTGAAGACTGCCCAGGCAGTAATTGTGCGAACCCGTTCCATCTCCGGTAAGATCTTTTTGTTCGACACTGATGGTGCATCATAGAGTCCTATGTCCCGTGCTAACTGAACTGCTTGACTAAGCATCATCCAGCTTTTCCTAGCCCGTCCTTGGCATTTAAATCTGCATTAAATCAGTATAGTGAACGTGACTTGTTTGCTACAAACCAGTGGGTTGCATACACACAGCACATCATGAGGAGGGCCTGGATGTTAGGGAGGTCATGGTCATCATCTTCGACTTCCCACAATCTTTGTGCCTCATGGAAAAAGTTGTGGCCCCGCGAGAATAAGTTCTCGGGAGTGGAAAGAACATCGGGGCTATCAGAATAGGCCTATCTGGGTAAGCTAATGGGTTTCCAAGGGGTTTTCTTTTCGGGATTCATACGCTGGCCATTGACAATAGGCTATTGACGAGAAGGGGTGTGCAGAATTCTGATCTTTGATCCCCGAGTTTCATATGTTCAAGGAAGATACCTTGATCAAGGAACTGCGAGCATGGGTGGTCCCAGGTAAAGTAGAGCGAGACTAGGTGCGAGACCAAATAATCATTATCTGTGACCTTTGTCCACGGGTTTGCCGGCACTTTGAAGAGAGGCATGTCACAGAGGCTCTCCAATGTGACACGAGCATAAGGACTAACTGTTGGCCTTTGCGGAGGTTTCATGTATGGAATCTCTTCCGGTGAGCTTGCTATAGTTCCAGGGCTCGACAGTCGTCTCACCCCATTGCCCACAGTTTCTATGGGCTCCCCATTATCCAAAAGTGCCCATGTGTTGGCATTCGACAACTCTTCAGCGTCTCCGAATGTCGTGGCGGGCCTTCCAATAGCATGAGCGAGATCTTGGAATGTAGCCTTTTTCCGGATCAAATTCAACACTTTATCAAACTGAAGTTGATCATCCGACGCGAGGGTGCTCAACAAAGACTCTAGCAGATCTTTATGGGTTGTGAGCTCCTGGATAGTTCGCTTGACGGCAACCTTTCTTCTGAGATCTCGACTTGGATCAAAGTGACATTCGGTGTTGGCAGAACGACAAGCTTTACATGGACCATCTGGTCCAGAACACTATATTGAGCACAACACAACAATCAGCCATTTAATTCCACGGTTTGGGACGAGCCAGAAAGAGAGAGAGAGAGAGAGAGAGAGAGAGAGGAAG